AAAAAAAAAAAAAAAAAAAAAAAGTTGTTTTAGGGACTGGAGAGATGGCCAGTGGTTAAGAACACTGGCTGCTCTTCCAGAGAATATAGGTTCAAGTCTCAGCACCTACATGAGGCTTACAATGGTCTGTAACTCCAGTTCTAGGGATCAGATGTCTCTGGCTTCTGTCAGCTTTGCATGACATGATCCACATACATATGTGCAGGCAAAGCACCCATACACATGTAATGAAAATAAACATTAAGGAGGAATACAGATAAAATAACAGTAAGTCTTTAAACTAAAGCAAGGAAGACTACCTGCTGTAAACACCTAAGCAGGCATTCCTCTTCATGATGGTTCCTGAGTCGCAGCGGCAGGAATTGTGATGGAGCTGTGCCAGCAGTGGGCAGGTACTCTGCAGACTCACCTTCTTGGCCCTTTGACCACAAACAACACATTCTTCTTTTATTTCTTTTTGCTTTTTCAACACAAGGTGTCTATGTGTAGTCCTGCCTGTGCTGAACCTTCCTCTGTTGACCAGATTCCTCTAACTCAGAGATTTGCCTGCCTCTGCCTCCAGAATGCTGGGACTGAAGGCATGAGCCATCAAACCCAGCTAACAACACATTTCTCATTAATATATACAAAATAATACAAAAGATAAATCAATAAATAATGTGTGAATACCAAGCGTAAAGCTAGAAAAGTGGAATGAAGTTCAGCAAGAATTAAATGCAGAGTAGAAACAATAGGGAAAATCAATCAAAACAAAGTTCTTTTCAAAGTGACCTTGAGAGATTTTATGCAGATCAACTAGGAACAAAGGGACTACTACAACTATTTAATCTCAAATGAAAGAGAGGCATTTGGAGTAAAAACTTATTTGACTTGTGAAGTAAAACAGTTACAAGAGAATATTCTGAAAATTTCATGTAACAACTGTATAATGTAAACACGCACACATTTGCAGAAACCTGATCATCTGTAAAATAATCAGGTAAAGAACGTTTAAAAACATCTGACTAGAAAGATGACATTGTAAACACAAAAAGGCAGCAATCAGACAGCTTCCACTGAGGAACATGGAGGACGGACATACCTGTTCTGAGCTGTTCACCAGAGAAGACGCCTCAGACATTTTTTAAATTTTTATTTTTTATATTAATTACAGTTTATTCACTTTGTATCTCCGCTGTAGCTCTCTCCCTCCTCCCCTCACAATCCCACCCTCCCTCCCTCATCTCCTCCCATGCCCCTCTGCAAGTCCACTGAATAGTGGAGGTCCTCCTCCCCTTCCATCTGACCCTGGCTTGTCTGGTCTCATCTGAACTGGCTGCATTGTCCTCCTCTGTGGCTTGGCAAGGCTGCTCCCCCATTCAGGGGAGGCAGTCAAAGAACCAGCCACTGACAGACACAGTCCATGTTCCCCTTACTAGGGTACCCACTTGGACACTGAGTTGCCATGGGCTACATCTGAGCAGAGGTTCTAGGTTATCTCCATGAATGGACTTTTGTTAGAGTATCATTCTCAGAAAAGACCCCTGTGCCCTGATATTTTGGTTCTGTTGCTATGCTTGTGGAGCTCCTGTCCTCTCCAGGTCTTACTATATCCCCCTTCTTTCTTGAGATTCCATTTTTTAATTAATTTGTTTACTTACATTCTGACCACAGTTTCCCCTTCGTCCTCTCTACACCCACCCCCAAATGTGGTGTTTAAGCCCATTAAAAGTGTGTATTAGCTAGCCTGTGACTACTCTGGGTGTTCTGGATCCCACTGTAGCAAGGACCCTTTATCAGGGAGAGCTTTAAGCACAAAAACCAGGTTCTGGGTTGACATACTTAAGTTAACAGGAATAGTTAGCAAGAAGCAGAACTACAGAAGCCAAAAAGCAAGGTTAGTACATTTAGAGACTTTCCCAGAACTATGGACTTTGATGGATTAGGTCCTTGTTTTTGTTTGGCAGGTGGTGCTGTGTGCTGAGTTTTACAGCCTGAATGACACCATCATGGAGTCAGTGGTGCTAAGGTCTTGAGCCCTCCTAGAGTTGACACTGACTTCTACTGAACACCGAGTCCTCGGGTTCGGTTTCCTGTGATTAGCTGTTGCAGGTCCCCTGCAGTGACACCTCAGGTTCTTTAATAGTGCCAGTCTACTTAATGCCGCTAAATTACTATTAATTTGGTGAAATAGTCAGTTTTGAAGCTCTAACACTCTAATAGCACACCATTAGAGCTTAAAGTCCAATATCAGTCAGGCATGGTGGCAAACGCCTTTAAGCCTGAGGAGGAGGAGGTGGAGGCAGCAGGATCTCTGTCAGCACCAGGCCAGCCTGGTCTACACAGGGAGACCCTGCTTCAAAACAACTGTTTTCAATCGTGAATTCTGCACTTTATATCCTCCATATTTTTAGGATCCTATTGTTATTGTTGTTTTTATGTGTGTCACCATGTGTGTGTACATGTGTGTACACTGTGTGTGTGTGTGAGTGTTAGTGCACTGTGGCTGCACAGGCCTTGCTCTGAAGAGAGACGCTTCTCTGTGCAGTGGAGAGCACCACTAACTAAGGGAGAACCTGCATCAGAGGGCGTGGACTCAGCAGTGACAGCTTCAGGACCTTCAGGCTTTCACCGCCAGAGGCCCCTGCAGGGGCAGCTGGCCTGCTGGACTGAGCAGCTCCCGAGTTCTCTGCTCTGCACCTGCGTGCAGCCCTTGACAGACTGCCTGGTGCGTGTCACACAAACTAATCTCACAATAGTAATACTATTAAAATATCACTTTTTATAAAATAGTTCTCTCCTAACATATGTAGCCATATACCAATGGCAGATATAGTTCTTCTTTCCAAGAAAGAAGAGAAGCTGCTTCGTACAGGGTCTATGCCTCACACTGACATAGATACTGACAAGTTACATAAACAGGAGTAAAAACCTCACCTTCCAGCTAAGGAGGTCTGGTTACCCCGTTTCTGTGCTTGTAAGGATACATAACAACTTCAAGTAGGTCTATATTAAGTGCAAATTCCCACCAGGGAGCACCAAGAGAAGGAGGACCAGGTGATAAGAAAGGGCCCAAACTATCACAGAGTAGAAAGAACATGAAATGTTATGCCAGGAGCATGACGATTCCTCTGGTTGATGCAGAGGAGAAGGGAGAGAAGGGCTGAGGAAAAATGGCTGAACCGGATGAATTCTCATCATGTTCTCTGGAGCATCTCCAACCTAGAGCAAGGAAACACGTCTTTTGAATGTTCTGGGGAAAGCCTGGGTCAGTTCTCCTGGGTGACCTGGACAGTCATCACCACCCCAGTCGCCCTCCCTGGGGGTCATCGTTTCCCTCCCCCATCACTCCTGCACTCTACATCCTGGAGCATCTCCTGTCTTCCTCCCTCCTTTCCCGTGTTCCATGGTCAGCCCTGGCCTGCTGCAGAGCATGGAAGTTCAGGATAAAGCAGTAATGACTAGCAGTAATGCTCCCTGACTCAGGGCCTGATGGGAGAAGCCACAGGAGCTGGCAGGAGCCCTAGCCAGAGAGGATCCTGGGTCCCGGTTGTCCAGACGGTGAGTGGGGTCTGAGACATCTCTTCTGCTTCATTCTAACCCTCTCAACAAGTGAGAGTGGCACACAGCTGTGGGTTTGGCTGTCCTGCGCCACCTTGTCCCTCTGTGCAGTCCAGATGGGAGCAGTGGCCTCCAACAGCAGCTCAGTCCCACCTGCCTCCAGTGGGAACCCTGCCCCCGGCGGCGGCAGCTGCGTGATTCGTTTCTGTGTGTGTGAGTGTTAGCCTGCATGTGTGTCAGGCACGGTGTGAATGCCTGCTGTCTGTGGGGAAGAAGGGCCTGGAACCCCTGGACCTGGAGCTGTAGATGGCCGTGAGCTGGCATGTGGGTGCTGGGAACAAACCCTGGTCTGATGCAGGAGCAGCAGGTGGTCTTGCCAACTCCTTATTTTATCTTCTTTATCACCGTCTGTGGAATCCTCTTCCCTCTACACATTAGTCTAAAAACCACCTCCTTCTCTCGTGTCTCTACGGTCCCCACATCTGCAGCATGAGAAGCTCCTAAGTAGGGACCCGCTCTAACCAGGCACTTGCTCTGTTCCCTTGTCATTCCCACTAGGCTGTGAAAGACTGCTCTCCTGTCAAGACTCAGTGTGCACCAGCTATTGCTGGCAGATGATATGAACTCCCCATCTCCTCCTTCCTTTCCCAGTAAGATGCTACAGCTGGGGGATGACAGCAAAACTGCCAGAGCTCACCCCTGCTTCCTCACTCTTCACCCATCTGTCCCTTACCCCACTTCCAACACCGTCCTCCATAACTGTCCTTGTCGAGGATTCTCAGAAGACACATAAAAATGGAAGGGAGGAGTATCAGTAGGACAGAGAAGTGGGGCTTGGTGGCCATGGAAGAATGCTGGTCCACACTAGGGGTAGTTGGCGGTGAGGCTGAAATAGAAATACAAGTTGAGTCTTTGACCGGACCTCAAATCCGAAGAAATGTCACCTTAGCTTCTGGGTCCTCAGGTAATTCAGTGGACACACCGAGTCTCCCCTCTTTGCTATGAACAACTGTTTGTATGGTCCTGAGAAGGAAGGGGGAGGGGATGTCCCTGTCCTCAAAAGAGTCATGTAGCTATGGTAGGGGAAGCAGGGTAATGATGGGATCTCATTTTTCTTGATGGCAGAAGAGCAGCTGAGCTGTAAGGGTCGTGGCAGAGAAGAAAAAAGAATTCAGGTGAGATGAAAATAAACAGTGAGCAAAGACCAGGAAATCAAAAGATGCCCAGTCTGTGTCACCCAGAGACAGCCACAGAGAGTGACCAATGTAAAAACACCCAGTGAGATAGGAGAGGAGGACAAAGGAAATGAATGATGAAAAGAATGGACATTAACTCAATAACTCATGGTGATGCTATCACACACTCACACCTCATATAAACAGAGCTTTCTCCCCCTCTTCCCAGTTACCTGTAGGCTCCAAATTTTCTTCACAGTACAACGTGGTCTCCCTAACCCAACTTCTGCATTCGCCCTGTGAGATCCTGTTTAAGAGGTCAATTACTTTCTCAATTTTCTCTGCCATCTCTTTTGTCCAGGTGGATCCAGAATCCATTTCAGGCCCCTTCTTAGTATTTGAGTCAATATGGAATGTTTTGGGTCCATTGAGGCTCAAGTCCCAGGATCTGCTGAAACCTCCATCTCCTTCATTCCAGCAACATATCTTGGCCTGCAGAGTGAGGGGCTCTGTGCCCATTTGAAAGAGATCAGCCTCTGGACTTGATGAACCTATCTGCCTACCCACCCTCCATCCCCAGCCTCTGACCTTGCTGTACCCTCCACTTTGTCCTTTCTGCTGGACCTCTCATGAGGACTACCAGTGATTCACTTTCTTTCTCCATGAAAACAATGAATGTCCTTAATCTGTCACAAATCCTGTTCCTTCCTTCAGGGGCCATCTGATATGTTCTTTTACTTACTTCGTAGCAGTGGGGATTGAACCTATGGCCTCATGCATGCCTGCCAAGCACTCTCCACTGAACTACATCCCCAGCCCTATGCGGCCATTCAAAACTTACCTATAATTGTACTATACTCCTGCCTTACTTGATACAGCACGTCTTTGAAAAGGTAAACTTCATCTTTCAAAGTGTTAACCACTTTTTCGCAGACTGTCATGTTATTTGGTCTGTTTCTCGGAACATTATGACACTTCTTGTCCTTGTAGAGAAGAAAAGTCCCTTCTGGTTGGCCTTGGACTGACTGATTGTAACTCCATTGTCCAGACCCTGACCTGCCAACTGTGAAGCCACAGCAAACACCAGCAGCCTCTGTGAAAGAAACATGCAGTAAGGTTAGGGGTGTGGAGCAAGGGACTCAGAGACAGGCTCTGCCTGTGACACCAAGAAAGTCCACCTGAAAGGGTGTCTTTAAAAAGAGAGGAGAAAGGGCAAGTGGAGAGAGGAGAAAATCTGGACTGATTTGTAATTTCAGATCATAGAACTGAACATCTTTGCTGGTTAGCTGTAACTGTAAGTTTGATACAGCCTAGAGGCACCTAGAAGGGAGTCTCTCTTGAGGGACTGTTCTGACTGTCAGTGATGCAGGAACAGCCAGCCTGCCAAGGGCATTACCATTCCCTGGCCAGGCTGTCTCTGGCTGGATGAGAAATAGAGCTATGCAGGAGCTAGTTATCCACAGCAAGCATCATCCTACAGGGTTCCTGCTGGGCCTCTCCAGCTGTGAAGCAAGTTCCTTGTTCATAATTCTGTGTGGAGTAGCAAGCAGGCTGCCTCTGAGCTCCTGTCCTGACTTCCCCAGTGGCAGACTGTGACTTAGAATTAGAAGTCTAATACAGAAGTTTCTCCCTGAATTTGCTTTTGGCCAGAGTGTTTTTATCACACAACAGAATGAAACCAGAACGGCCCATTGGCAGATTCCCTGGACATAACACGGAGTTCCAGGAAGGGCCTCCTGGAGCTGCTCAGAGGATAGCACACACTACAAGACAAGGAAAATGCAGGATGTTAAGTCTGGTAGTAGGAGAATGGTGATCAAAAATCTCAGGGACATGCATGTGCCAGAGTGGATGTAACAGCAAACATTTCTGGGGAGGCATGGAGAGTCCAGGCTGCTCTGTGGGATGCTGGCACACCCTGTGGAGAAGCAGATTCAGCAGGACCAGAGAGAAGGGAGTCAGCATGTGAGGAGCTCAGAGGGGGTGCTGAAGGCTCAAGGCTGGACTGGTGTTAGCAAACTATCTCTAAGCTGGAATCTCAACAGTATGGCACAGAAAAGTTCCATCACATAGAACAGTCAGGAGACAGTCACATCACGGCCATGGTCCACTGAGGAGAAAAGGGGACACAGATTGGGCCTGACTATTTAATGTGGGTCATGGCTAACAGAACACAAAGATCATAACTATAGAAAGATTGTTAGCCAGTGCAGAAACGGCTGGATTTTAATAATTAAAGACAAAACAGATGACCAAGAAGCTGAAAGCTTCTGCCTCTTCAGAACTGCAGACTCCTGTGCCCACTATGTGAGGCTGAACCACCCACGTTAGAGAGGAGATGCAGGGGTTATGGGCACTTGTTGCTCTTCCTGAGGGCCCATGTTGGTTCTCAGCAATCACACAAGGTGGCTCTGTACCACCGCCTGTGACTTCAGTGTCAGGGGGTCTGATGCCCTCTTTGGCCTCCAAAGACACCAGGCATCTATGTGGTGCACATACATATATGCCTCATGTCAAAACCCTCATGTGCATAATATAAATCTAAAAAAAAAAAAAAAAAAAACAATTATACTCAAACCTCCTCAAAGACAGACCCAGATTCCCTTCCTAGGAGGACAGTTTGGGTCCCAACAAGCAGGGACCACTCATCTCCACAGCAAGTGCAGTGATTCTCTCTGTCTGGCTTCCTTACCCCCCTGTCACTCAGGTGTGAGCCCCTACATGCCTCTGTGGACATCTAGTGTGGTGGTTTGAACCACCCTTCTTCTATAGAGTGAGACAATCGAATACTTGGTCCTCCGTTGATTGGTTTGGGGGGTCTGGCCTTGCTGAAGGAAATATGTCACTGGGGCTCTGGCTATGAATTCCCATCCCATTTCTCCAACCCTAGACCTTTCTTGAGGTTTAAGATGCAGGCTCTCAGCTGGGCATCCTATCACATGGGTCTACTTGCAGCACTTGAGAGGCAGAGGCAGGCAGATCTTCATGAGTTTGAGACCAGCCTGCTCTACATAGTGATTCCTAGGAAACTGGAACTATGTAGTGAGACCTTGTCTCTAAACCAAACCAAATTAAACAAAACAAAACCAAATTAAACATATGTGGGCTCTCAACTTGCTGCTCCAGCCACCGTGACTGGTGCCATGCTTCCCTGCTGTGAGGTGATGGACTTGTGTCCCCGGAAACTATACGGTTCCCTAAACCCTTTGTTCTGTATGTTCTTGTGGCTGTGATCTTTTTTCACAGCAACAGAAAAGTACCTAATACCATGATCATATAAATATTGAAGTCTTCTCAGGCTAGATCATCTCTGTTACTCCTGCTCACCTCTGCTCTTACAGCTTGAAAGCAGCCAGAGACGATCCATCCATAAAGAGTATGACTGTACTTGCCTCTAGAGCCCTATGACCCAGAACAATCTCTCAGCCCAATGTTGTCAGTGCTAGGAAATGGCCCTGGGTGGAGACCATGGCAGTTCCTAATCGGAGAATCACCTTGCTTGGGCAGAAGCCAGCCAGGCCCACCTGCAGCAGGGAAAATGCACTTCATTTCACAGTGGCTCCTGGCATGGTACTGGGTTCTGGGACAGAGAGTCAGCATAGAACCCAGTGCTGTCTGGGAAACATGCAGCTTTCCCAGGACTTTTGAAGACACTCTGGGGGGATGGTCACCAATCCTGGTACATGGAGTATTCCCTAATCTGGCTTAGAGGACACATCTGCTGTCTCATTCATCAGCTTGTGACCTTCTGCTGCTGTCCCACCAAATGCAGAATTGAGTATTTGATGCAGAGAAAGATACAGTGAGGCTCCCTGGACTGAATAAAAATGAGTGCCTGCATTTACAGAGCAAAAGGACCCTGTCCTGCCTAATGAACACCACTATTTGGTGCCACCTCCCCAGGAGGCAGACTACATGGGCCTGGGAGCAAGGGCAGCAGCTTCCATAGCTCCCCACCCAGTCCATTGCCAGGGCCCTCCCTAGAGGACAAGGTGCTCCAGCCCTGAGTAGCTGGGGTGTCTTAAGGCATGAGCTCACATTGCTTCCTGGTGGGTGAGCAGTGAAAAGGCATTTTATGATTTGGAAAGTTGGGAAGGCTAGATGGGCAGGGAAGGGAGCTGAGCAGCTGGGTGGTTGATGAGTCCTGTCTGCATTGAAGATGAGTCTGGTGTCACAGTCTTGTAACCCCAGCACTTGGTAGACCAAGGGAGAGAAAGGCTTGTTTCAGAGTCTATAGTGTGGGCTACATAGTGAGAAGCCTTGCCTTAAAATAAAACAATTCTAGAATGAAAAAAGGAAAAAAAAATGAGGGGAGGGGACAAGAATGTGGGAGGTGTGGCCATCTTGTCCCTGGTAGCTGGGGTCTGCTGGAGAAGTATCATGAGAAGGTGGGAAAGAAAGTTCAAGGGCAAAGGGGACATGAATGGTGGAGGGCTTTGAGGAATGCCCAGGGAAGGCAGTCTCCTGAACTAGCATGCCTTAGGTCCAGGGGTCTGACACAGCCTCATGGAGGGGTTTTGCCCTGTGTCCAGCACATCCTGTCCTGGTGACTGGGCTTTAGGCTTCCTGCAGCCCCAGAAGGTGTTGAGGGCTTCACCAGGAATTTCCCCCTGTCCCCCACCCTCTCCAGCGCCGCCCTCCTCTGTAATTTTCCCCCTAACTTCTTCAATCCACTGAAGCCTGGGTGGGACAGAGACAGAGTCTGGGTTCCTGGTCGCTGAGGTGGTGAAGAAAAGAAGCCCAGGGCTTCCTGGTAGCCCAGGACCCCGGAATTCATGGCTGAGATCCTGGTCTGTCCTCCATGTCCCTCACTCTCACCCCCACCCCCTATATGGACCCTGGGAACTCACCATGGGACAGCGTGGTCTGCACGAAGCTCAGGAGAACTAAAAGTGTCACAGTCAGGGAATGACAGCGCTTGGTGCTTGCTCCCTCTTTCATGGTTCCTTCCTGAGACAGGGCTATCCGCAGCAGTGGAGCTGGGGAGAGGATGGGGATTCCTCAGGACCCGCGCGCGCGGAGGAAACCCCGCAGAGACCTGCAGCTCCAGGCTCCCGGGCTGTGAAGTCAGGCCTTTCCGGCCCCGCCACGCGGGTTCCTAGTCCACTTTCCCTACGTGACTGCGGGCGTCCTCAGGGCGCTGTGGCTCTGCTCCTCCTCCCTGTCCCCCTGGGCGCGCAGCTAAGACTGTGAACTTTGTAGTCTGAGGGCGATGCGCAGGGCGCCCTCACCCCGCGGTGCCTTCACCTCACTCTGCAGGTTCCTAGTCCACTTTCCCGACGTGTCTGCGGTGACCCCTCCTGGCCCCGTGGTTCTCGTCCTCCCCCCTGCTAACCGAGGTCCCTGTCCCCTCGGGAGCGCGCGGAGGCGATGACTATGAACTTAGCGAACCGAGGGCGCGTGGACGTCTCAGTTCTGAACTGACTGCGCAGGACAAAGTTGTTCAGGGCGCCCACACCCCGCGGCCCCTTCACCTCACTCACCAGCAGTTGAGCCGTCGGGAACTCTGGGCTAGAGTCAGGAAAGACAGAGAAAGAGTGAAGTCTGGGCCTTCAGTGGAGTCCTGTGCCAGCCGCCACCTAATCAGAGAAATTTGCTCCCGCCCATTTCCTCTGGCATCATGTCCACGCCCACAGCGGCCGGGCGGGGCACTCTAAGGCTCCACTCAGGTCCTAGGGGAGGTAGAAGCTCCTGCATTTCCTCTATTTCTCCTCTAGCTCCCCAAGCACCATCTTCTCCTTCAGACCTGCTCTTTCTGGCTTCCTCTATCTCTTTTTCTTCTCCATCCCTGACTCATTTGCTCCCCAGGGTCCTTCTCCATTACCCCTGGTCACCCTTAGGTTCTTTATCATCCCAAGACTGGCCACTGGCCACCCTCCCCCAATGGAGAATACTATAGGAAGTTAATAGCAACTACATACAGCCCTATAGGTCCACTTTGATTATTATGCACATTGTGACAGTATTTCTTCGAATCTGTGAACACAGGTGTGCCCTGCAATTATTTTCCTGTTGGCAGTTTTTCTTACTCAGATTTTTTTTTGCCCCTTTGTCTGAGTTTATTTGTAATTATTTCTTTTTGATGATACTGACAGGGAAGCAGTCCTCTTAGTTTAATTTTCAGCTCATTGGTTATTAGTGTATGTAAATACAAGTGATTTTTAAATTCTACAATACTTGATTTAGTACTCCTAATTCTACTTTGCTGGGCCCTTCAGCATTTTCTAAGTTCACTATCATGTCACATACAAGCAGAGACTTCTTAACCTCTTCCTTTCCACTCTTGAAGCATTTCCTTTCAATACTCTAGCTGTTGAGTACAAGTTGTTAAGACTGAACCTCCTGGGATCAACTTCTCATTGTTAAATATGGTGTTAGCTGTGTTGCATTATAAGTCTCTCTCTCTTTCTCTCTCTCCCTCTCTCTGAGTGTGTGTGTGTCTGGGAGGGAATTCTTCCCATACCTAGTTTATGGATTGATTGTATCAGCAGTGTGTTGAGTTTCCACACCTCTTTCTGCATTTATTGAGGGGATGGTAAACTTGGCCCTTACTTCCCTTCATTTGCTGCAGCACAATGGTTGACTTGGGTCTATTGAGCCTTCCTTGTCCAAGTGAGGGCAGGGAGCTCCAGGGGTGCAGGAACCAGGGTCCTTGTCAGGCTGTTTCTACTTCACTGATTATTTTCTCCTGTAGCTTGTTTTCTAATTTTGCAGATTCTTGTTCCATCATTATATTTTCTGTCTTCTGTTTTCCAGAGGTTACTTCATTTTACATTTATTTCTGAAGTATAAATTAAGGTGGTTGGTTGCAAGCATTGGCTGCCCAGTACTTGCTTTATAAACCAGGCTGATCTTGAACTCAGAGAGATCCACCTACCTCTGCCTCCCAGAGTGCTGGAATTACAGACATGTGCCACCAAGGCCACCTTACATTTTTTTTTTCTTAATCATCCTTTCCCCTGTTTATGGCAGAATCTTTTTTCTGGAATGTTATTTTTAATGTCTGTTTCAAAAAATAACATTTACAAGAGAAGAGTATCTTCAAACGTTCTAATTTACCATAGGAGAAAAGCACATAGAACTACATCTTTTAAATTTTTCTTGTTACATGTGTGTGGATGTTTTGCTTAATGTAGGTGTGTACACCATGGACATACCAGGTGCCTGTGGAGGCCAAAAGAGGATGCCAGGTCCTGGAACTGGGGTTGAAGATGATTGGGTGCCCCCTGTGGGTGTTGCTTATTAAACTTGGGTCTTCTGGAAGAGTGTCCAGTGCCCATAATAACTGAGCCATCTCTCCAGCCTACCCATAGTTTGTTTCTTGGTTTAATCAACAAATCTCAGTGTCTCATGATTACTCAGGTCGTCCAGGAGACCATAACATGGGTCAGCAGATAGCAATTTTTGTTTTCAAATTCTAGCAGAACTAACAAATGAATACAAAGCCCCTGATTCCTGATCATCTTTGTGATTTAGCGTGAATCCCTTGATGAAAATTATATCAGTGTAGCTACACACAAGGCTGAGTGGACAGTTTTTTAGGCCATGTCTCAGTACATGAAAGAGGTAAATGTTTAAAAAGTATTTTTGCCAAGCAGTGGTAGTGCAAGGCTTTAATCTAAGCAGTTGGGAAGCAGAGGCAGGCAAATCTCTGAGTTTAGGGCCAGCCTGGTCTACAGAATGAGCTCCAGGAAAGCTTAGGGCTACACAGAGAAACCATGTCTAGAAAACCAAAAACAACACGGGTGAAAAGAGCATGCCACAGGTTATTGCTCTTTCCAGAGTGGTGTTGCATGCTGCCCCCTCAGGACTGGCCATCTGTGTGCTTGTCTGCTCTATGCCAAAACAAACAACACACAACAAAAACCCAAAGCCCAAAGCAAGAACAAAACAACAACAAAAATCTGCCTTATCGAAAGACAGTAATGCACTGAAACTAAAGAGATGACTTCACCTTTCCTCTTTTGAGTTGTTAGAAGAAGGCCTGTGATTCAGCTCTTCCCAGGATCTGTCATTTGAAAACTTTCAGAACACATCACATACTTCGGTGAGTTGTGCTGTCTAGGAAGAGTCCTGTGCTTTGTTTGAGAGTTCACCCTGTAAGGAGGAGGAATGTGGGAAGAGAATGGGCTCATCCTTTCAGAAGCCGGCAAGATCCTGTCTTCAAACAAACAACCAGCAAAAGTTTTATTGTTGATTGTCCCACAAATACTGAAATAGAAGATACATTTTGCTGTCTCAATTTAGATTGTTCTAGAAATGTTAGCAAAAATAAGTTGGGTCTTCTTGAATGTTGCTGGGTCACTGAGAAAGGAGTGCTGAGGTCCCCAGCTCAAATGGCACATTTGCATATTCATGTTTCCTTTGGTTTGTGCATCTTGAAACTTTATGATTTCATGTAGGGTGACCATTGCTTTCTTCTGTTTTCAGCAAAAGCTAGTGGGACCTGACTAAGTTTGCGAGGTTTCTTCATATCCTCCCTGTCCCTGTCCCTAGTCCCCAGTCTTGGCTGGCCTCACCTCCCGCCACTGCCCTCTCCCCCCTTTCTACTTTCTTCCCTGTCCTACTCCAACTGTCCAGAACCCCACCCAAGTCCTTCTTTTTTGCCCCAGCTTTAATCCCCTGTCCTCTGCTGGAAACTCTCAACCTCTCACTCTTCCTCCTTTACCTCCTTTCCCACTTTACCTTCCTTATCCAAGCCCTCACCTCCAATGTCCTCTTTTTATTTTAATTATTATTATTTATTACAATTTATTCACTTTGTATCCCAGCTGTGACCCCCTTCCTCATCTCCTCCCAAACCCACCTCCCTCCCTCTTCTCCTCCTATGCCCCTCCATAGTCCACTGATAGGGGAGGTCCTCCTCCCCTTCCATCTGACTCTAGCCTCTCAGGTCTCATCATGCCTGGCTGTATTGTCTTCCTCTGTGTCCTGGTAAGGCTGCACCCCACCAGGGGGAGGTGATCAGAGAGCCTGCTACTGAGCTCATGCCAGAGAGTGCCCCTGCTCCCCTTAGTAGGGTACCTACTTGGAGACTGAGTCTATGGGCTACATCTGAGCCAGAGTTTTAGGTCCTTTCCATGCATGGTCCTTGGTTGGGGTATCAGTCTCTGAAGGCCCCCAGGACCCAGGTTTTTTTTTTTTTGTTTGTTTGTTTGTTTTTGTTTTTTTGCTCTGTTGGAGCTTTTGGAGCTCCTGTCCGGTCCAGGTATTTCTACCTCCCCCTTCTCTCATAACATTGCATTCCGTCCAAAGTGTGGCTATAAGTCTCAGCTTTTTTTTTTTGATACTTTGATCAGTAGAGTCTTTCAGTGGCTGTCTGTGGTAGGCTCCTGTCCTGTTCCCTGCCCTCTCCTGCTTCTGATGTCTATCAAGTTTGCCCTTCTCAATGAGGATTGAGTAGCTTCCCTAGGGTCTTCCTTGGTTAGTTTCTTTAGGATTATAGATTTTAGTATGTTATCCTATGTTATATCTAAAAACCACCATGTGTTCTTTCTGCTTCTGGGATATCTCACTCAAGACTATCTTTTCTATATTCCACTATTTGCCTACAAATTTCATGATTTCCTTGTTCATAATAGCTGAGTAGTAGTCCATTGTGTAAATGTACTATAGTTTCTGTATTCATTCCTCTGTTAGGGGGCATCTAGGTTGTTTCCAGATTCTGGCTATTACAAATAGAACTGCTAAAAACATGGTTGAAGAAATGTAGACTTTAGCATAGTGAAAGTGGCCATCTTTCCAAAAGCAATCTACAGATTCAATGCAATTCTCATTAAAGTACCAACACAATTCTTTACAGAACTTGAAAGAACAATTCTCTATTTCATATGTAAAAACAAAAGCCAGAATTGCCAAAAAAAAATCCTGTACAATAACACATCTTTTATAGGTATCTCTCTCCCTGATCTCAAGGTGTACTATAGTAAATAAAAATTGCATAGTACTGGCAGAGAAACAGGCTGGAGGATCAATGGAATTGAATAGACTGAGAAATAAACCCACATACATATGGATACTTGATTTTTTACTAAGAAGCCAAAACAATACAATGGAAAAAAGACAGCATCTTCAACAAATGGTGCTTGTGTAACTGGATGTTTACATGTAGAAAAATGCAAATAGATCCATATTTGTCACCCTACACAAAACTAAAGTCCAAGTTGATCAAAGACCTCAACATAGAACCAGACACACTAAACCTGTTAAAAGAAGAAGCAGGGAAGAGCCTTGAACTCATTGGAACATGAGACAACTTCCTGGATACAACACCAACAGCAGAGGCTTTAAGATCAACAATCAATAAATGGGACCTCATGAAACTGAAAATGTTATGTAAAGCAAAGGACACTGTCATCAGAACAAAACAACAGCCTACAGATTGGGAAAGGATCTTCAGCCACCTTGTACCTGAAAGAGGGCTAATATCCAGAATATATAAAGAACCTAAGAAGTTAAAAAACCAACAGAACAAGTCATCCAATTAAGAGATGGGGTACAGAGCTAAACAAAGAATTCTCAATAGAGGAATATCAAATGGTAGAGAAACACTTAAAGAAATGCTCAATGTCTTTAGTCATCAGGGAAATGAAAATCAAAACAACCCCAAGATTTCATCTTACACCCATCAGAATTGCTAAGATCAAAAACTCAAGTGACAACACATACTGGAGAGGATGTGGAGAAAGGGGAACCCTCCTTCATTGCTGGTGGAAATGTAAACTTGTACAACCTCTCAGGAAATCAAACTGGCGCTTTCTCAGACCATTAGGAATGTGTTACCTCAAGATCCAGCTATAGCACTCCGAGGCATATGTATGAAATATGCTCAACTATACAACACCAGTACCCTCCTTCACCCGTCCTCACCCCCTCTTGGCTTTGGGCTGGGTGTGGTACTGCCTGCTGGCCTATTCTTTATCTCACCTCACCGCTGCCTTCCTGCTCTCTCTACCCTTGGAGGCCTCACACTGCTCCTTCTCCCTCTGAAACCTTAGCTCCATGTGCACTGCCTTAGTTTCCTTCTTGCCCTGCCCCTTTCCCTTGCTGTGCTCTCGGCCCCATCCCCAGCAACTGCTTGTTTTGCCTATGCTCCTGCAACCTCTGGCCTGGCTTACCATGTCCTCACTCTTAGCCTTCTTCACCCTCACACACCTCTGCCATGGACTCCCACAACTGCCCTCGGGCCATCCTCTCCCACTGACCCATCAGCCTCCCCTCCCCTTGGTCCTCCTCCTCTTCTTCATCATCCCCACCTCACTTTTCCTGTTTCTTCACTGTCTTCCCTCACCACCTTCCTCCCAACTCCCCCTCATAACACTCCTTTCCAATTCCCCTGGAACTCCTGTCTGCCCTTCTCCCAGCCACAGATTCCTCTCCCATTCCTACTCACTCTTCCTGTTACATCCATTTCCCTTATTCCCTTTACCTTCTCCAGTCCCCTATTCCCCAATCCCTTGTGGCTCTGTAAACTGCCTGGCAGAAATGTAGATATTCCCACCTTTAGCTGCAGCACTGAGGATGAGGTAGGAGGATCTCTATGTATTGAAGTGCAGCCTGGTCTACAAATCAAATTACAGGCCTGCCAGGGCTACACAGTGAGACTCTATCTCAAAAAACCAAAATACCAAGTGAAACAAACAATAGAATAAAAATGAAAGAAGAAAAGAGAAACATTGATATTCTAAAGAGATGCTTGTGTCTGTCAATCCATCAAATTATGGAAACATGGTCTCCAAAAGATGGAGATTTCCCTGAGAATCTCATGCTGGGAGAAGGAAAGGCTCCAGCCAAGGGGCAGGTTGTTTCCTGGGAAAAGCTCTCACACAGCTCTAGCAACTTGCCAGACCACTTACAGGCTGAAACTGGAGGCCACACTAGGATGCTTCAAAGGTGGGCAGGGCCACAGCCTGACTGGGCAACTTAGATGTACAAATCCTTGGTTTCTACTTGAATCTTAGTCTTACTGCAGGACTCCAAGATGGATTTGGGGGTTCACTGGATTATCTGTCCCTCTTCCCAATGTGTGCACGATTGTCAAATTGAGATTCAAATAGGTGCTGAACTACACAGGGTCTCAGAGAGAACCACTTTCTTTACAGAACACATTATTCCTTGCTTCAGGCTCCTTTAGTCCCAACAGTTGGATATGACCCTGTTTTTCTTCTAATATTTTTTAGGGAGTGAGAAAAGCTCTCAAAATTACGTATTATCTCTGGGAAGCCTGAGTCCTTCAATTTTCAGGGAAGATAGAGTAATAATCTGCTTGTTCATTTTTGAGACTGTATTTTAATTGCAATGTTTTCCCCTTTTCTTCTCGTCCCCTAAAACCTTCCCACAGACCTCTCTCTGTCACTTTCAAATCATGGCCTCTTTCTCCATCAGTAGTTATTTCATGCACATATGTATTTGTATATACATTCCCAAGAAGAACCTTTTGAGTCTAAGCAATGTTACTTATACGTATGTTTCCAGGGCTGACCATTTGACACTGGACAACCAATTGGGGTGCTCTTCCTGGAGAGGGCTACCTTTCCTGCTCCTGGGTTTACTCCTTTGCCTCCAGTTCTTTGTGCTGGTGTCCCCGACCCCTGCAGGTTGTTATGGGCAGTGCTCCCCTCCTTGTCAGCTCACATTTAGGCAGTCTGGTCCGGGAGTCTTCATTGGTGTAGCTTCTGATGTTACTCACTGCAAAGCCCCTGATCCTCGGGCTCTTACAGTCTGCCCAGCCCTGGTCTGCAGTGCTCTCTAAGCAGTAGTTGTGGAATGTTGTACAGATGTCTCCACTGGGACTGGGCTCCACTCCTCTGCATTTGATTGGTCGTAGTTTTCTGTAGTGGTCTCTGTTGTAAAGAGAACTTTTCTGGAGGAGGATTGACAAGTACACTTATCTGTGTGCATAATGACAAATTTGTAGATTGTTGTTGTAGATGGATTTTGAGGGTTTAATGAGGAAACAGTTGTAGGTTCTCCTCCAGGAACCATGATTTCACTAGCCCTGATGAGTTTGCAAGGTTGCCAGGACCAGGCTTGGTATCCCTCAGGCTGAGCAAGCCTCAAGATCAAGCAGAGAGTGTTTGTTCCACTACTGCACCCTCAGGGTTCTCGTGCTGTGCTGGTCGTTGCTGAGGTTCGTAGGCATCTTAGCTGGGTTGGACTGTTGGATGCTTCACTCCTTGGAAGCTTGTATGGTCCCTTTGGCACCACGAAAGTCCTCAAGGAAGAAGCTTGAGGTGAGTTCCAGCTCAGGGGCTTCTGGGACCCATATATGAGGTGTATGATGTCTTCAGCAATAGAGACTACTTTCCTCTTCTGCAGGGCAACCCAAGGCAACAGCAATAGGCTGGGAGTTTGGGGAATTTCTTAATCCAACAACAATATAAAGTCCTTCCAGCTGCTCCTGGGGAAGCCTTCTCTGTGGGAGGAGGGCATCCTCCCCCTCCAGACCCTTTAGAGGCTCATCAGATAGACTCAGAAGCTGACTCCCTGTGAGAGCCATGGGGCCCCTGATGGTGACAGGAGCCAGCATGATACTCACTTGCCTTTTAATAGCAATGATTTATATAATTGGAAATTACAGAACCCACATTGAGGGATCCTCTTATGTGATAATTTGGCTTTTCTCAGGGAAACTCTTGGAGACAGTGCTATCAGCCCCGCTATGAAGAAGTTCCCTCCCAGTGTCTCTCTCCTCCTGTGCCTGTGGATCCTGATGTAGAACTCTCAGCTACGTGTCCTTCACCATAACCGCCACACACTGCCACATTCCCCGCCATGCCGGCCATGGAATAAACCCCTGCAGCTGTTCCAAGCTCCAATTAAACACTTTCCTCTGTAAGAGCCGTCAAGGTCACGCTGTCTCTACACAGTGTAGGACGCTTACTAAGACAGCTCACATCTATTCTTGGGGAGGACATCCCCCTTTGTGTCTCAGCTGGGACTTTCCCAATCCTTCCCTTTCCCTGCAAACTCTTACACTGTGCAGTTCTTTAGACTTTGTTATTCATCAAGTGTTTAGGAGTCTGGCTTCGCCAGAAAGCCTTGAGAACAGGCCCATGGTGGAGTCCCCACTGAGAGCCATGAATGTAGCTGGGCCCAGGGTCCAAGGCTGACCTGAGCATGGCTCTTCATCAGCACTTCAGTTATCTCTCCAGCCTGTCCTCTGCAGTTCAGACTGCGTGTCTCCTGGGTGCTGGCTGGCTCCACTCTGCTCTGGCTCTGCTGGGGTAGTCGCTCCACAGAACTGTCATCTCCAGCATGCTGGGAACTTCTGCTGCCACTGCACTTTACGAGTGGTCTAGCCTGGGCTGTCTTCGTGGGCCCCAACCCTGGTAAACAGTGCCAAGCCTCAGGTGCTCTTCATGACCCCTTCACACCTTCAGAACCAGCACCACCTGGTGGCGCTTACATTACCGAGTGGGCTGCCATCACAAGGGACAACCTTGGCCATGTCTGGAACACAGCTTCTGAGCACTGACTCTCAGGAACACTGTCCAGCAAAGTTTATTTCAATGATGTCGTTATTTTCCTGAACACTGCTAATTTCTCAGTTCCAACTACAGCATTTAGCAGCCCAGCAAAGCAAAGCTTCACTTTAGTAGTTCTGGTATCTTGTTAGTCACAGCTGGTTCTTCAGCCCCAGCTACCCAGAACCATTGGTTCATCATTCAAAAGGCTCGGGAGTACCCGCTTCCCTGAACTTCTCAAGCCAGGCCTCCATCAGCTGAACTGCTCTCAGCTGCTCTTCCAAGTTCCTGAAGGACACTCGAGTTAGCACTCAAAGCTCAATGGCCTTTCCAGCCCAGAGTTCCAGCCTTTCTACCGTCCTCCCCAAACACATGGCTGGACAGGTCTGTCACAGCAATACCACACCACCTTGGTGCCATCTTGCCTCAGTTGGTGTCACTATTGCTGTGATGAAACAGCACGGCCAAAGGGACTTGGGAGGAAAGGGTTTCTTTGGCTTAAACTTCCAAATCACTGTCTGTCACTTGAAAGAAGTCTGGACAGGACTCAAAGAGAGCAGGAATCTGGAGGCAGGGGCTGATGCTGTCTTACAGAAAAGGACCACCCTCCCCCCATTGGTCAGTAATTAAGAGAATGCCCTACAGGCTTGCGTAAGTGTGAGCTTAAGGGAGCATTTTTATAACTGAGGTCCATCCTCTCATAGGACTTTAGCTATGTGACACAAAACTGCACAGCACAGACCTTATATTAACCAGTTACACTAGATTCCTTCTCACTAAGTACACCCCACCAGAAGATGAACAGGATCACGCTGGAGCCCAAGTACTAGCTTTGTGCTTGACAACTAAAAGTCAATGCACTTTGCACTTAGGTGGAGAAGGATGAACTACATATTAGTTATCTGTAGGAAAAGCCACTAAAAATTTTGATCAATTAAAAATTTTTGATAAATGAGGAACTGTGAATAATGAAGGTGATTGAAAGAAAGGATCCCTGACTTCCATACATGTGCCAATAAATAATAAAAATAATAAAAAAAGAATAATGTCTTAGAAGGAAGTATTTATACAATGACCACCAGATTTTGGTAAGAAAAACATTGTTTTAGCCCCTTACAAGTGTGCCACAGTAGCATTGATTAGACAAGATCTCTGAAATGGTTGGGACTCCCCAAGCAGGCAAGACAGCAACTCGTGGTCCAGGGCTCTCCTGCCTCTGCCTTCTTAGCACTGACAGTAAAAGAAGACAGAGTGCACCTGGCTCTTTCACAGGGTTAGGGACCACCTCAGGTTCTCAGGGTTGTGGAGCAGGCACTTACCCTCAGCGTTGTCCTCATGCTTTGGACACACAGGACATTTAGTGGTCAGCAAACAGCCGAAGTTTCTGGAGATAATGCGCATGTGCTGGAGAAAGAGCTGCGGGAACCTGGTCAGAAGCTGGTCCATACTGCATAGAATATAGAATCCAAAACTTCCAAAGCTGGTAGAGAAGAGCTTGTGGAAAAAGGCTCAGAGAAGCACACTCGTCCCAAGAGATG